TTTGCTGTCCTGGAATGACTTTTGGACATTCCTACATTTGATGGGACTAAACGTCTGGTCAACTGACCAAGATAAAGTGGTTGAGAGGACTTGGGTCTTGACCAACATTGGCCCAACAAGATGTCCCATGGCTTTGTCCAGTAAACACCATCACCCTCAGTCCCGAGTAGCATTAGAAGAGTGTTTCTCAACCATGGCTCTTGGAGATGGGTGAATTCTGGGAATTGAAGTCCACTCATCTTCAATTAATGAAGATTGAGAAACATATGAGTCTCAGCAGTGACGGTGAACCTTTTCGGCAATGAGTGCCGAAACGGGAAAGTGTGCACCAGGAGTGGGTTGCCGCCGGTGTTACTGCCAGTTCGGTTGGCGTGCACCGCCGCACTTTGCCTGCACATGCACAGTTGCCTTTAAGTTGTTCTGCGCATGCAGAGAGCATTATAACATGACAAAAAAACATGGGCGACTGGGAAACCGATTTGGGGGGCGCGGCCAGCCTGCTGTCCCTACCGGTTCGGTGACCGAATCACAATTGCCGCTACAGGTTTGCTTGAACTGGTACAAACCTGTAGCAACCCACCTCTGGTGCTCACGCTGGAGCCCAGAAATGGGGAGATAAACTGGCCGGTGCACATGCGTGTGTCGGCCAGCTGGTCTTCACGTGTGCCGGAGTGCTGGAAACGGGAAAACCAGCTGGCTGTCGCGTACCGGTCTTCTGTTTTTTGGTGATTGCACGCATGGCTATCTGGTCTTCGTATTTCCGGTATTCTGGCATGTGTGAAGACCAGCTCGTCAGCGCATGAGCCATGGGTTTGCCATCACAGTGTTAAAGGGTGAAACCTGCTTCCGATTGACAGGGGTGGATTCTTGAACGTGGCAACAGTTAGCCCTTGACTTATAACCATTCATTTAGCGACCGTTCGAAGTCCCATCGGGACTGAAAAAAGCGGCTTATGTCATTTTTTTCACATTTTTGACCATTGCAACATCCCTTGTGGTCAAGGGAATAAGAATTCGGACACTTGGCAACTGACTCACATTTACGACGGTTGCAGGGTGATCCCACCGGGGTCAGGCGATTCCCTTTTGCGACCACCTGACAAGCAATGGGAAACCAGGTTCACTTAACAACGGTGTTCCTA